GCCACGCCCGTGCAGGTGGGCGCGTCGCCGGCCTGCCACCACCTGGCCACGCCCGTGCCGCTCACGGCCGTGCAGACGCTGGCCGCCACCAAGGAGGCGCTGTGCGAGCAGCTGTACACCGCGGTGGAGTGCGGCACGCGCGACCACATCAAGAAGCTGCTGGAGCTGGGCGCCGACCCCAACTACAGCTACCACCTGGAGGACTCGCCGTTCCACCTGGCGGTGATGCTGGCCAAGGCGGACGTGGTGGCGCTGCTGCTGGGCGCGGGCGCCGACGTGAACCGCAAGGACCCGCTCGGCCAGGCGGCGCTGCACCTGGCGGCCACGCACGACCACAGCGGGCAGTGCGCGTCGCAGCTGATCGAGGCCGGCGCGCACATCGAGAGCGCGGACAACCAGGGCCGCACGCCGCTGCACTGCGCCGCCAAGCGCGCCAACGAGGAGGTGGTGCGCCAGCTGCTCGAGGCCGGCGCCAACGGCAAGCTCAAGTGCAAGCTGGGCAAGACGCCGCTCGACTACGCGCAGACCAAGGGCGTGCGACGGTTGCTCGCCTGCAAGCGCGCCATTCGCCGGTGATGTTGCTTAACTTTTTATAGCTCGTCGTCGTGCATTTCCATTCGCGTTCGGGTGATCGTCATTCTCCTCGGCCTCCTTCAGTGAGAAGGAAGAGGTGGGGCGAACGTAGGTTTCCGCATCGGTTGTTGGATGGTTGGTTGGTTGTTAACGTTTCGGCAGTCAGGGTAAATCGACGTTGGATGTTTTCCCGCTTGGGTGTCTCTCCTATCTTGTCAGACGCCGTGTTGAGTGCGTGGTACAAGATATTAAGACTCCACTAGATGGGTACAAAGATGCAAGAAATACTTCCAGATTCATAGAAATTAACCATGCTGATATTACATGATTTTAATGTGAAATTGCAGTACTGGTCCCATGACTGTTTTGTATAGTTAACATTTTTTTTTCTTGTCTGATGAATGGTGTTGCTCATTGTGTGATATTTGTCAGTCAATTTAATGTGCTTAAGTTGGCACATCAAGAATCAACTATACATCAAAAGTTCCATTCAATATTTTCTTTGAAGTATTCATAAAATGAAGGTGATTCATGATACAAGAGGGTTAAATAAGATTTTATTCATTCTCTTCCTTTACCCATTGCGTATGTTGGCAGTTCCAAACTTATTTCATCCGTTTCTTGACATGGCAATGTTTCCGTTTCTTTCCAGTTTATGCTTTAGAGCTTATTCCAGAGGTTTGTCCCCATATGTTAGAAAGCCTGAAAGATACTATCTCAAGTCATTAACTCCCAAATTAATTTTGTGCACATAATACTCTCCCATTATCATCATTTCCATAATCGTAGAGCTGTTGTTGGAGCTCTCTGGTAGCATGTTTTTGCAACTTATAGTGCTAATCCATTGGTATATTGCTAAATTATACTAGTAGAGCGCTTCAAAGCAACAACAACTTGTTATATGGACATTTTTTTCCCCTAGCAAAACTTTCCTAGTTGTATTTGCCCCGTCAACTTCAGTGCAAACCAACCACCGTTTGCTTTACACTGGCCTCTCCCTCCAATTTAACCACAGGCATATAGCAGCCAAGCATGGTTTTAGATGAAGATTTGAACTGACGTAAGTCATGAATACGCCCCGTTCAGTATAGTCAAAACTTGCATACATGATTCAATCAAGAAGTCTATGTCTATTGAAGAAATAAAATTCACAAATAATTGCAAAAGAAGCAAATTTGAGTTGACCAGAAATGTATATCCTCAAATGAGAACGCTGGTCATTAATGGGTTAAGATTTGATGATGATTATGGGTTTCCCGGTTCTACTATATGGGTGTGGATAAAGGAGTTTAAAAACAACAGGGTTTTAATAGAACTGAATCATTCGAAATGAGATTTTAGAGAAAAGTAGTGGATTGTACATTCAGGGATCAAATAATATGTGAAAATATAAGAAGGGCAAAAAGGGTGAACTGATATAGCACTTGACAAAACTTCAAAATATTTTATTCATGAATTAAGAAGTTTAACCTGATGCAATGACCTAAGCCAAAGTGGTAATTTTCAACAGTGAGCATAACCAAGCTCTCAAATCATGACTAATGATATTCAAAAATTAAACAGAAGTAATCAATATGAATGTGAAAATAAACTATAACTTTGTAATTTTAAATATGTATTTAAAATATTTTTAATATTTTTAAACTATTATAAAATATTGTTTAAACTTGATAGGTAACCTTTTCTGGCAGGGATAATAGGCACATCCATAGTCTGCTCGTGTATTAATCCAATCTTGTTATACTTGAAGAGAGTTTTATTTATCCACTCCCTTTATAAACTAAACTGAGGAAGTTTTGTGGGCCATTGAAAAGAAATGAGAGCAAACTCTTTACTTTTATAACTTCCTCCTCTCTTACCTAATAACAAGTTGTAACTCTTACTATCAGTCCCTTTCCTGAGATAAATGTTCCATTTTGACCCCCTTGTCTCTCAATTACCTGAGTTAAACAAAAGAGACTTTACGAAAAATTGGAGAAATTTCATACAGATTTTAAATCAATTTTTAAACTTGAATTATAATATACATTTTTGATAACTTTTAACAATTATTTCTAGTTTGAAGTTGATAATAAAAACGTTGCTATAACAGTCATTTTTCATTGGCACAGTTGTGGGACTTTCTTAAAGCAAATACTTTTTTGAATGGTCCATGAATAAAATAACTGTTGTGTGAGTGCTCAAATCTTTTCATATTTTAATATGGTTGTCAAAGATTGTAATTGGTGCATTTTGATATACGTAAATTGTATAAGAAGAAAATTTGCAGCTGTGATTTTAATTTTTTTTTTAAATTTACTAGAGAAAAAAAATTGTTCATTTTCTTGGGAACAATGAATTAAATGATGAATAATATAGCTGTATTAGATAAATAATGTTTCAAAATGTTAATGTGATGTCTGAATTTCCTTTTAGATACGACTAATTTACAAGCCTGAACTAAATAACTACATTTTTGAATGTAGTTCTTATTAAAAATTTGTTTTTTTTAGGGGGGGGGGATATTTTTCTTGTGTTTTCAATTAATAACACCTGCATTTTGAAATCCAAAGCAGGTATTATTAATTATCATTAAGAACTATCTTGAGTGTTGTGCGAAAAGGTCAGCAATATTTGCTCTGAAGAACGCCTTGACAAGATAGAACAAATTGTAAAACATTGATGTGATGTTACCCTGACAGCTGAAATGTTAAGAGAAACAGGTAGCTACTTTCTACCACCCACATGCAAGTAAGGATCGAAGAAGAAGCAAGTATTGTTTTTATCAGTCTAGAAGCAAATGAAAGCTCTATTGTGCCACTGAAAAGGTCTCCAAATAGATAGTTCGGCAGCTGCTGCACCTTCATGAAATTATAGTACAAAGAGGACTAAGCACCTCTTGATTAAACTCAGTCTGATGCTTCTAACAACTGTTCATTTACAATTATCTTACTTTTATAATTGTTTTGTAAAAATTATATTTTATTTTTATTTTGCATTGAAGTTATTATATTGTGAAATAAGAAATGAAAGACATAACTGCTTTTTATCTTATGCTTGGTTGCCATGGAAATCTAAAAGGGGGTGTAAGGAATATTTTCATTCATGAAGAAGTTGGAATGTCACTGTACAGTGGAGGGTCTGGCAGCTGCTGTGGGTTGACATCTACTGAAACTGAAGTACAAACTGAGCAAAATTAAATAAAACTTAATTTTGCTCAGACTATTTGGGAATCCACCAGTTCACTGCCTGCAGGCAGACCTTACTGTGGTGTTGCTTATTTCATTTTATACATTTTTTTCCATTACTGAAGAGGTTCATATTGCTCAGAAACTAGTAAGGGTCTCTCAGTATTTATTGTAAGAATCCTATGAAACTTTAACAAAAGCTAAGTTTAAGTTTATTAACTGAGAAACAAACTCTTTAACAGTTTCCTGCTGCACTGCACTGCATTGCCTACAGGCCAACCAGATGATACAAATGTCGCTTGATGCCAACAAGAATTTGAAGTACAAACTGGACAAATCACTGCTTGATCGCTAGCAGATTGGTGGGGGGTCATCAGCTGTGGCCTGCTGGCAGGCTATATGGCAGTGTTGTTTTTATTTTTATAGTTTTTTTTATTCATTAAAATTAACAATAGCCACATATGGGAGGGAAGTAGCTACTTTTTACTGCCCGGATGTAATGAAGGGTCCATCTTGGTAATTACTGTATCCTGTGAAACCTTGATAGGTTTGAGATGGTGTTTATTGACCAAGAAACAGACTGAATTATGTAACAAGCAAAGTTCCTAATGTCATGCAATAACAAAAGTACAAGGTATGATTGTGGCACATAAAAACGATTGGAAACATATCTAAGGAAACATGTTTAAGTACAATATGTATTTTATTGGAATTTAGTCTATTTTGTTTGTGTAAGTCTACAAAGTTCCTGATATGATAGATGATGCAGCAGAATAGATTTTACTTCATCTTTAAACTTGTACAGTGTACTAACATTTTTAACATTGTTGAAGTATTGAACAAGTAGGTAGCCAACATTGTATGTGGCTTTTTGATAAAATGCTATAGAATTTGAAACATTATTACTTTGTTGAGCGTGGTATTCATGAGCATGAAAATGAACGAAAATATGTGTCCTACATAAAGTAATGCTCTTCCTATGTAGATAATTTGTGAATCAGATTGTTTTTTGTTTTTGAAGTTGAAAGGAAGCCGCCCATTCACTATTTCAGTTGCTTGTGAGTTTGTTATAAATTTAATTATTTTTTTCCTTTTTTGCAGTCTAGGAGACTGCAAAATGATATTCTTAAAAAGTATCTTTCTCAGCTAAGATGTATATTTACTTTTGACTTGATATATACAGTATAATGCAATTTGTTCAAACTAGTTGAAGTAGATAGTGTGTGCTGAATAGATGATGATGATAATAATATATACTAATTATTATGTTCAGATGAGTAAACCACACGTTTCATTTCCATTTAAATTGAACAGAAAGACCAAAAATGTCATGACTGACCACACACAACTTTTCTAATGTTCCTATGATGTGATATGTAAGAAGTATATTTGTTTCCGAAATAAGAAATTTTGAAACACAGTTGCTGCCCTCTTAACCGATATTTAATTAAGGAGGCACCAGCCTCGCCTTTTCCCCATTTGTACTCTTGAGGGAAGTTCCAAATGTACTATTTGCACATATGCTGCAATTTAAATTTTACATATACCATGGAACTGTACTTCTCTGTAAAATAATTATTGTTCTGTACCATTTCTTCTCACTTTTATTTAATTGTAGTTTTATTGCTGTATTTTGCATTTTTTTCTTCTATAAAAAACAGAAGTGGACAATAAAAATATTATATATTTTTTACTTTTACAAATTTTAGCTTTAACTTTACATTTTGTAGCTGATCAATGGTCAGGTCCCATTGAGTCTGGTTAAGTGGGGGCCTACTGTAATTCTTATTTCCATTTTCCATTGATAAT